AGAACAGAGCTCCCATCCAAAGGGTAAGAGACGACAGATTCCAAGTATAAATGGTAGTTAGGAGAATTCCAGCCGATCTTAAGGCTGAGAGTCTAACTTTGGTTTCATTCTTTGTCTTTCAGACCTTCTTTCATGGCAGTGTGACCTTAACACCTCTGGAGGTGATGGGTCCCTGAGGCAGCAGAAGGAATCACAGAGGCCTGCTCAAATTTAGAGGCAATCCCAGTCATTGAATGAGATGCTCACAGACTTCCTTGGGCCTGTGGTGACAGTGGCGGCTCTGACTTGATTAATGGCCTCTGCATCACCTTAGGGTCCTTCCTCCCTTTCCCTGAACAATAATGCACAGTGGCTGCTGAAGAGCTCCACTGTCTTCAGTGACACCCTTTGACCTGGGACTTGTCTCATGTGGTATGTGTCTACCTTGGCAGTTCTTTGTCCCCTCTCACTTTTTACAACTCACATTGCTTTGTTTATGCTTTGGTAGTGAAAACAATCTATAAAATAGAAAGCTATTCTCCTATATACTAAGACAATATTTAAACACTTAATACATTTCGGGGGAGTCTGTATGCACCTGTGTACATGTCACATGAGTAGAGGTCAGAGGACAATTTCTCAGGCACCTTCTGCTTGTTTGTTTGTTTGTTTGTTTGTTTGTTTGTTGAGATGGAATCCCTCACCTGCCTGTAACCACTAGCAGGCTAGGTTAGTTGGCAAAAAGTCCCAGAGATTTCCTGATCTCTAACTTCCTAGCCTTGGGAGAAATGCCTGTCAACCCATCTGGTGATTTTCTTTTTTCCTTTCTTTTCCTTTCCTTTCCTTAGTTCTTCTTTTTAAAAACATGTGTTCTCCGGGGTTATAATTCAGATTCTTGTCCTTTCAACACACTGCTGACTATGCCATCTCCCCAGCCCCAAACCACTAAATTCTTAATACTATCTAATACTGATTTCAAAATACACAAAATGAACAGAAAGGCTGAGCTTTCGAGTTGGTTTTCTAAACCTGGACTTAATCCAAGACAATGCAAATGTCCCGATCCTGTCCTGTTGTCCTTCCTTAAGTCTCTTTAATCTGGGGTGGGGTGGAGAAGGGACCCCCTGTCCTGGCTGGCTTGCTGGTGATCCTGGTTAAAGTCACACCTTCAAGCTGTTTGCTTCCTCATGTTAATTGCTTCTCTTGTTGCCTCTTTACTCTCTTTTCTGGAAACAGAGACAGCTGAAGCCTTGATCATATTCAAGTTACCGTCCTTAGAATGGTACCACATTTAGGGCTGGGCTTCCTTCTTCATTTGCTTTCTAGAAATAGCCTCTAGACACTCTCAGAGGTAGGTCTCCATGGTGATCTAGGCAGGTTGACAATTCCCTGCCACACCATGCCCTTCTGGTCAAGCATTTGATTACAGCAATGAGAAAAATAACTGAACAGAGGGAACTCTATGTCCAACTTGCAAGTTGTTTGAGTGTCAATCATATTTGCTTTTGAAAACAAAGCACTTCCGGACAATTCTAAACAACTTACCTCAGGCCTAAGGTGCTGCCTGACTGTCCAGCCCTGCCCCTCACATGGCTTAAGATGAGCACTGTGGTAATAGTTGTCAACCTCTCCTTGACTATACATTTCCCTTTTTCTTTCCTTCCTTTATCTTTATGGTTCTCTGAATCCTTCCTGTTCTCCTTCCTGCTGGAAAAAGAAAGAAAGAAAGAAAGAAAGAAAGAAAGAAAGAAAGAAAGAAAGAAAGAAGGAAGGAAGGAAGGAAGGAAGGAAGGAAGGAAGGAAGGAAGGAAGGAAGGAAGGAAGGAAATGATGCATACTTTATTCTCAGAAAATGCTGAGACACAGGTGTTTTACTGTGGGCTGAGTTTGAAGATCCTGGAAGTTTAGCAACCATGAGATGGATTTGCAGATCTGAATTATGAAGTAAACTTACACAAATATGTGCCTTAGGAAACATGAGCGGTTGGTTTTGAAGTGCTGTCTTGATTATGACTTAATCTATGGTTGTTTATTAAATCAATACGATTCCCTGCCAGGCAAAGTCACTGTAAGAGGGAGCCACAGCCGGAATGCTCACTTAGCAGGCTGGTGGAGGCAGAAGGAAAGCAAGTTCCCTGAAGTCTACAGAACTATCAAGCCTGAATGTCCCTTTCAGGGAAAATAAAAAACTTTTGAAAGTCAAGCCTGGAAACCTTGGCAAAAAGTATACTAATCGAATCCCCTTAGGAAGTACCAAACAGGGAGGACAGAGTAGGCAAGAGTATTGTTGTGCCTACAGGGAGGAGGAAGCTGGAACCGAACCGACATTGATTAACCAAAGATTAATTAGAGTTCACAGGAGCCATTGCCCTCAAAGTAAAACAGAAAAGAAGGTAAATTTACAGTCACAAGGAGAGTCTACAGGGTCTCAGCTATAATGAGGCAGGGCTAAGCTTTCTAGCTGCCGGCTGTTTAGAAGCATCCATAAGCACGCTTATTGGATATGAAGGTCTTTCTTAGTCAACTCACTTTATAGATAAACAGAACACACAGCAATGATGGTTTTTATCTCCACATGCGGAAGATTTGTTTCCTCCTGGTAAGCCCAGCGTAGTACAAATGTACGGCTTTAATCTGTTCAAGTGCAAGTTCATGCGCACTAAGTATGTCGTCATTGCTGTGCAGCTCCCACCACTGAATCCCAGAGCCTTGGTATCGCTCAAACCTCTTAAACACTAAAACAGTAAGGCCCCTTCTCCAAGCCTCAGGGGTCACTAGCCTACCTTCCCTTCAAACAGTAAGGCCCCTTCTCCAAGCCTCAGGAGTCACTAGCCTACCTTCACTATAGTTTTGACTATTCTAGGTCCTTTTTATAAATATGATCATGGTGTTAAATTAAAACAAACAAGCAAACAGCAACAGAACAACACAGAAACACATTTGAAATAACTCACTCAAGCTGAAGTCCCTGTCATTAAGCGGAAACTAAGCTGTTAGCTGACCTTTTGGGGAATCAGTTAAACATCACGGGCTTGTAAGATAGCTCAGTGGGTGAAGGCATTTGCACTAATGCCTCACACCAGATTCCCAAGGTCGCCTTACACACACACACACACTCACACACTCACACACACATATACACATGTACTCATAAACACACATTCACACATACATACACACGTGTACTCATACACATACACTCACACACACAGTCATACACACACACTCACACACACACTCACACACACACACATACCCACACTCATACACACACACACACTCCCATTTGCATTTCCCAAATAGGTCAGTTAGCTGGAATTCTTTCTCCCTGAATATTTAACACAAACACTAACCTGAAGTAGCTTGATGCTAACCAAGCAGGCGCCTTCCTGCTGATCTGTCTCTTGGGCCCAGTCTTAGAAAGACACAGACCAATATCCATTCTGTTTCCGTGATCTTCAGCCTCATTCTGTCTACACCAACTTTGCCTGCCCACTTTATACACATATGCAGGACTGGAATTGCTAGACCCTTAGTATTTTCTGTGTAGTTGTGTGTAGAGCCTTCCAGGGCTGTTGCCTCAGTAGACAGGAGTTTGCCTCTCAGTACCTCAGACAACACAGCTTGTTTTCTAGTTTCATTTGTGTTTAAATAGTGACCGTCATAAAGGGTGTGAAAGAGAAATTTTTAATGCTTAGTCCATACCACAGTGGGATCAGCAAGCGGTGGGGGACCCTGGGGTGCTGTTACAAAGATTAGCCTGACAGACATTCTCAGTCACACAGATGGCACACTGTCCAAGTGTCACGGGGTGAGCAGGGCCTGAGACCCAGTACAGTTTACATAACAGGTTATGAACAGTCTTCTGGAAGGAGGCAGTAACTTTTCTTCCTGGAAAATAATGTCAGGTTGCCACGCTGTCGCCACAGAAGCTTACCCCTTCAGAGAAGACTATTACTGTGTGTCCTTCCTGAAGAAGCTCTAGATGAACACTAGGTTGGTGGACAGGGTAATGCCTGCTCCAACAGTACTAGAAGAACACTAAAATCCTTTCCACTGAGATGTTCTGTTGATTGCTGTGACAGTTTTACAGAATGGCCCCTAACAAGTGGGCTCTCTGTACCCTCTCCCTTTAATCTGAGATCGGTGGCTAACAGAATACAGCAGAAGTGCCTCTGTGCCACTCTCTGGATGTAGACCTTAAGTAGGTGGCAGTTTCTATTTCCTCTCTCTTGGGACATTTGTTCTTGGGATCTAGTCACCACACTGTGAGGAAGCTGTTACTAAAATTCTTTCCCAGGGGGAGATAGAAGCCCTGTCTCCCCCTTTTCCTAGAGGTCCCAAGAACAGACTGAGGTTCAGTCCACTATAGATACTGTAGGGAACCAGTGAGATTCCAGAGCATCCATACAGCCAGCATCCTTCCCAGGAGCCCCTGTCTCTCCTCCCACTCCCCCGTCTTATCATACAGACTTGACACAGTCTGTGATAAAGACACTGTCTTCTGAAAGGTATCCTCATTGTCATTTCAACTTTCAGAGGTGATTTCTCTGAGCACACCCTAGAACCTTCCACAGACTCTCCTGCTCCCCTCTTTGCCTTGGGCTAAGAGACTTGGTAGTCTTGTAGGGCACACTTGAAGACATGCTGTCCACCTGGGTTCCATAACTTCCTCTAAGGTGAGGAGTACTGACAAGATAAGCAAAGTTGACGGGGACAAAGAAGACACAGCCCTTGTCCCCTGGCTTCCCCTGCTGATCAAACTCTCAGGTACTCATTGCTCAAGTTCCTTGAGTTTCTTCCTAAAACCAGGCACAGCCTTGAGTTTGGTCTGTTACTCTCTACTTTCAACCCTACCTATCCTAGACTAAGCCCCAACTTCTTCTCAGGAAAGAAATAGTTAAAGATCCCTGCCCTTCAGGGCCTGGCGGGGGCAGCAGCATTGCAGCTTGGTGGCTGCTCCCTGGAGGGCAGGCGGGATAGCGCTCCTGCAGTTTGGTCCCAGAGTAGAGGGGAACGTCTGGGAGCCTGTGGAGGCGAAGGAGGATCGCGGGAGGCGTGTTCCTCCGGAGTTTGCTTTTCCTTGGGAGCCTCGCGCGCACACCCATCCCCTCTGGTCTGGCAACTGTTGTCTAGGAAGTGAGGAGCCTCTCTCTGATCCACCGGACCATCGCTGGAACTTGCAGGCTGCGCGAGATCTCCCCTAGAGAAGCCGGGAGGTCCGGGGAAGTTTCCCCGAGCCGAGACTGTGCTGCAGCCCTGGTCACCCGCCACCCTACGGGCCACCCGCGTTCTCCAGCTCAGACTCGTCTGGCCTGGGCGCGGACCTGGCGCTGTCTGCGTCCAAGGAGCTCTAAGGTCGGTGCAAGTCTTTACTTCTGGGAACCAGGGATGGGACCAGGGACAAGGTCGCCGCCGGGGCAATCTGCTGGGAGGAGCAGAGGTGTTGCGCAGAGACAGCGAGACACAGCAGCCCGGCCTGGCACCTACCTGCCAGTGAAGGGCGCTTTCCTGGGAGACGAGCGCTGGGGGGAAGGGGAACACCCGACAAGACGATTGAGCTTTAACTCGGATTTTTAGGAAAAGGGAGCCCGGGGGTGGCGGGGGACGGGGGATGTCTTTTTCTCCACAAGAGCTTTCAGGAGCATCAATGCCCAGGGCGCTTGCTCCAAAGCCTCCTGGTGAAGTTGGTCTCTTCTAATCCCGCACCCTGGGTGTGTGTAGCCAAGGACACTTACTGTGAAGAACCAACCTCTGTGGACCCCTCCTCATACCATGATGGCAGCTGGGGTTGGAAATCTGCCTGTTGTTGGAGGTCTACTCGGTTTGCTCTGTGCTGTCCTGTCCTTTAAAGGGCACTTGTTGCCTTTCATGTGCAGAACACTGGAACTGTTTATAGATAAGCCACCTCTGAATACACCACCCTAATGGCCTCTGTAGACCTGAGGCAAAGGCATATTAAAGCCAGAGGGTGCCCCCAAGGAGAGTGGATAATTTGTCTTATTCAGAGAGCAAAACCACAGAGAACTTGAAAAAAACTTCTTAGTTTAAATTTTTTTTTCTACTTTTGTAGTTGTTTCTGGTTCCCTCAAAGCCACCAACTCATCTGTTTTTAAAGATTGGCTAACGGTGAAACGCTTTGGTAACCATATCACATAAATTACCTGCCCTAAACATGTACCATTTGGGTGCCATTGGAATTTCCAAATTACTAATGGCAAGTGAACATTTGTTCTGAGAATCTGATATATTAAACAGGTAAAGCTTTTATAGGGGTCAGCTTTTAGGTGCCACCAAACTCTAGGCCCACAAAAGGAAAACTGCAGATCCATAGACACGTCCTTCTGGTCTGAATGTGAGTTGCTTCTCCAGAGCTCTGGCTGATGACAACAGATGATGCCTGACAAAGCTTGACTAGAATACACCAAAATGAGCTACAGATCCATCCTTGGGAAAGCACGTATTCGAGAGAGGTTTCTTTTATTGGGTTTTGTGTTTTTCACTCTGTGACAATATGGCATCCACATGTTTTTGACGGATGTCCCTTAGATGTAGTGAGCCGACAACGGCGTCGTGAGAAAGGAGTTCTTGGTAGTATCTTTGTTGGAGGGAAGCAAGGAAGGAAGGAAAGAAGGAAGGAAGGAGGTTTTAATGGCAGCTGGCCCACACCATGGTAAGAAGCCATGGCTGTAGCTTTCTCAGTGCCTGTAGCAATCAGCTGATCCAGGAAAGCAGCTAGTTCACATGAGGACCACTGCACTCTACATGAGTTGTACAGTGCCTGTGACAGCCAAGTAGTTCATGAAGTCCCGTCTGGGTGATTCTAATAGACCACGAAGCTATTCTGTTTATGGAAAAGACCTCTGTCTCTCATTTTTAAGAAAACTATTACTAAATATTCCATTCCCACTGGGAAACTGAGAACCATTAATCAGAAAGCAATCAATAAATTAAAAGAATTGTGCCTCCCCTCACCATCAGAAGAGGGAGACAGATTGTAATAAGCTTTGTGCTTGGTGTTCTGGTCTCCATCTGGAAAAGGAGATGATGATATTTTGTAGGCCTACTAACAATTCAGCCAGCTATTCTGGACTATAAGAGACAGGAGAGGAAATCTGTAACTACATACAATTAAGGGTGAGCAGAAGTGACAGAGGTGACGGGTAAATGGCAGGCCCATTACTTTGACATCACGGCAGCAAGTGAACGCCGACAACCCAGCTGTGAGATAGGATGACTGTCCAGCCACCTTTTGGTTGTGAAACCGTAGTCACTTCACTTATGCAAGGCTCCTTGTCAAGTGTTGCAGATGTTGATTCTGTGTAAACCGTGATGCTCTAGTGAAGAACCAGATGTTCCTGTGAGACGGGACGTGTAAATGCTATCGCTGTTTTGAGAAGGCAAAACATGCGGGTCTTACAGCTGGTGTCTGTCTTATACTTCCTATAGCATGTCCATATGTCTTACTTGGTCCACCTATTGACTAAGTTTAAACTTGATAATGTCCCATGACAACTGTCAAAATTCCTAAATGTGATCAGCCTTGAACAAATTCAAAAAAATGGAGTCTTAAAATTTAGGGTTAGCTGTGTACGCCACAGACACACAGGCCACTGCCCATAAATGAAGTCGAAGCCCTCATGTACAGATAAGAAAAGAAATGTACAAAATGCCCAAGGAGAGGAGCACTTTACCTTCGAATGCTGTTCTTCCGGCATCAGGCTTCCTTCCACTTTCTAAGTGTCTTTTTTCTTTAAGTATAAGGGGAGAAATCTAGATTTACTGGGCACCAGGGACCAGGTGCCCTTCACAAGTGATAAGACATATGAATTCGAAGTAGTCTTTGATAATATCTGAACACCCCTCCCAGTCTGCTGCCTCCTCTAAATTCTGGAGACATCTTCAGTATGTTGTTGGTGCAAATTAAGCATGAAAATGAGAGACACAGGATGGCCTAGTGGTTAAAGCTCAGGTTTGGAGTCAGATCGAGCTTCCTCAGAGTTGTGGATTTGTCACTACCTTGACCTTCATGAGCCACCGGGCCTTCCTCTCAGCTTCTCTGTCCTCCTGAAGGACCTGTGGATGACTTGATTGTATCATTACGATAGACAGCAGCAGCACATGACATATTCGGCACAGTGCCTGTCCTGTCCTAGGATGCTTGCAAGATACTAAGAAACCAGATAGCCCTTGGCAAACCCGTCACTCATAGGACACCATTGACAAGCAAGTATCATGGTGGTTTCTGATGGATCAAAGTGGGGGCTTAAAAATATGTGGATTTTGTGCTTAGTCATTAAGGGTTTTGAACTAAACCTCTTTCTCTTGATCAGTGATCTTTTCTTTCTCTCTGTGGTGCAAGTGTGAGAACACAAAACAAAGCAAGCGCAGCTCCTGCAGGCTCTCAGTTACTTCACATCTAGTTAGAACTGGATTGGTAGGTGGAGTCACGGTGCTAAGCAGACATATGGCTTTAACACTTTAGCCGATGTGCTGCCCAGTTCCTGCCATGTGCAACCCAGCACTCACTGGGAGATGCCGATTCTCTGACCTCAGAGAATTAGATTCTTGCATTCTGTGCCTCAGTCTGAAGCAATGTCTCCTCTTTTACCACAAAGTTTTCTGTCTCATGTCTGGAAGATTTGAGCTATCATTAGCCTGAATAAAGAGGAAAAAAAGCTGCTATTTTTAAGGAAAGCTGAAACATTTTTATTCATATTATGGTCTGTACAGACATAGCTGTGGACACGCCAGGGCTGGGGAGACTACTTGCTATAGTAAATTTTTGGCCTTTTCTATTTTGATCTGATTGGTCTATATTTTCATTAAATCAGTAAGCATTCATTAACTATGATCTTTTGAGGCAGCACGATTTTGTAGCAGAAAATAATAATTTTTCCTACCTTTTTTTTTCCAGGTGAAAGGAAGAAAGGCGTGAGACCAACACAGTAAGACGTTTCTTCACATCTCTGTTACCACATTAAGATGGATGTCTTTTGCCTTGCGGCATCCTTTTGGCTCACGCTGGTGGGAGGCGTGATCGCTGACAATCCCGAGAGATACAGCGCTAATCTAAGCAGCCACTTCACCCCTTTTCCGGGGACAGAGTTCAACTTTCTGGGCACCACCCATCGACCTCCTAATTTGGCCCTGCCTAGCAATGGCTCAGTGCACGGCTATTGCCCACAGCAGACAAAAATCACGACAGTTTTCAAATATATCAACACTGTGATATCCTGTACCATTTTCATTGTGGGAATGGTGGGGAACGCAACTCTGCTAAGAATCATTTACCAGAACAAGTGTATGAGGAACGGCCCCAATGCGCTCATAGCCAGCCTGGCCCTCGGAGACCTCATCTACGTGGTCATTGACCTCCCGATCAATGTGTTTAAGGTAGGAAACTCCTGAGGGCTTTGTTGACGGCCGACTGGGAGGTTTACTTCTGCTGTCTTTCAGCTCATTGACGGTTTAAGAGTTTTACTGTTGTGTATTAGACGATTTTCCAATTTAGTTAATGAAACAGTACTTCCAGGATGAACCTTAAGATGATCCTACTGCCGGAAGGAAGTACGTTCCCACCTCAGCACTCAGCTTGTTGGCTCCACCGGAAGTCTTGGGGTAATCCATGACTGGGAATTGTTTGAGACACAGTTTTTAGGGTGAGACGTACCAAGCTCCCAAAGAATGTATAGTAAATAATACACATGCAATTTCAGTTAGCCTTCCGCGAGATGCTGCTCAGAGACCCACAGCAGAACTGAAGGTTTCTATTTCAGTCTGAGTCTCTGGGTGCTTGATTGCAGCACACGGGCTTGCTGGCTGCCCTCAGTATCAGTGACTTGAAGATAATGAAATCCATCAATAGCAGGCCAGGACTGAAATGCTAACTAAAACTACTCAAAATAGGCCTGATAACCCCTTCCCTCTTGGAGCTGTAGTATGTGCCCAGCCCTGAGCTAAGCTATAGGGCCCCAAAGACAGTGAACAAAAGTTGGTGTCTTCATGACAAAAGATAAGTGTCAAAACGTGGCCAGGATTGCCTTGCCTAAGAGACGCTTTAACCAAAATAAACTAAATCCAATGGGAATAAAATATTCCACATTTGCTGTAGTAATTGTGAAGGGGAAAATTCCTGAGAAAAATTTAAGTACAGTAAAAGTCAAACAAAATTGGCATATATGTGTCACTTTTTAAGAAATATCTTCACCCTAAACTGGAAATTGCTTTTCTCAGGCTTTCCTCTCCCCTCTCCCCCTCTCCCTCCTCCTTCTTCCCCTTTAGCCTCTCCCCCTCCCTCCTCCTAGCCTCCTCCCTCCCTCCTCCTCCCCCTTTATCCTCTCCTCCTCCCCTCTCCTCCTCTCCCTCCTTCTCCCCTCTCCACCTTTCCCTCTTTCTCCTCCTCCTGCTTCCTCTCTCTCCTGTTTCTATTCTTTCTCCCTTTCTCTTTCTTCCCCCACATCCTCTAGTCTGAAGTCAGGCTCCTCCCCTTCCTCCTCCTCATCTTCTTACTCTCCTCCTCTTCTTTCTTTCCCTCTCCGTCTTTCTTTTCCTCCTCTCTTGCCACAGGAACAAGTTATTCTAGGTCAGTAGTCCTCGATCTCTGTGGGTCTTGGGGTCTCATATCATACACCCTGTATATCATACACCCTGTATATCATACACCCTGCATATCATACACCCTGTATATCATACACCCTGTATATCATATACCCTGTATATCATATACCCTGTATATAATACACCCTGTATATCATACACCCTGTATATCATATACCTTGTATATAATACACTCTGTATATCATACACCCTGTATATCATACACCCTGTATATAATACACCCTGTACATCAGATATTTACATTACAATTCATAACATTAGCAAAACTACAGCCATGAAGTAGCAACAAAACAATTTTATGATTGAGAGTCACCACAACCTGAGAATCTGTATTAAAGGGTCACAGTATTAGAAAGGTTGAGAACCTCTGTTATAAGTAACATAATTCTGAAATATTACTTTAATTGTCAACTAAATTATGAGATAAAGAGTAGCCTGGAGTAGTCTCCCCTGTTTCTAGTAGACATACTTAAATCATAGTAAAACCACATGAAGCCACCATGGGCACCAGGGTTCTAGCATTAAAGGTGAAAGCAATGGGTTTTGTTGTTGTTTTGTTTTTGAGACTGGGTCTCTCTATGTAGCTTTGGTTTTCCTGGAGCTCCCTGTATAGACCAGGCTGTCCTTGAACTCACAGAAATCCTCCTGTCTCTGCCTCCTAAGTGGTGGGATTAAAGGTATGCACCACCACACATGGCTGATAATTTTTTGAATGTTAAAAATCTTTCAAAATTGTATCATGCCCTTTTGGAAAGCTAGAGAAAGTAGACGTGGAATAATGAAAAGCTAACATAGTGTGTCTCTCCTTGGGATAAGTAGGAACGCATGGGATTTTAGTTTGAACAGAAGAACAGAATTTTGAAACCAAACTGTGAAGCAGAGTTGAAAATGCATAATTAATTTAAAATGTTTAGCACTCTTTAAAATTCACCTTTTTTCTCTTAAAAGGTCCTTAATTGTCCATTTATGAATTGTCACAAGTGTTTAACACTTCCTTTTCTCACGGTTTTCTTCTTTAATGAGATATTTTAAAAGATTTTTATAGCTTTTGGCCAAAATCTGACTCTTCAGTTTCAATTGGTTATTATTATTATTATTAAGTCTTGATTATCCGTGCTTAGGCACCGGTTAACTAACTCATCTTTGTTCAAGGAAATAATTGACCATCTCTGAACAAACTCCCTGCTTCTGTTTCAACTGAAGCATGTGCTGTACATTCAGCCCTGTGCAAGGCAGTTTCTTATCAAACCAATAGGTGCAGCTGCTGGGGATCGAGGGGGGATGGAGTGGGAGTGAAAGCAAGGAGATGGGGGGGAGAGTGAGGGGGGTGGGATGGGGGATGGGGTGAGAGCAAGGAGAGATGGGGTGGGGGATGAGGGTGAAAGCGAGGGGGTCAAGGGGTGGGGTGAGAGTCATCAGGGATGGGGTGGGGTGGGAGGTGGGATGGGGTGGGGAGATGGGATGGAGTGGGGCTGGTTATCTTTGAGTCACTCCTGCCGATTCTATTCCATGGCTGGGTCACATTAGCTGAGAGACTTCTGAGTATTGGGAAAATCCAAATGTAATCTAGGTGTGTTCACATAGCAATCGCTAGACATCCGTACATGGTGATCCAGCTGCAGACTTCTTCACTTTGAGGACTCGTGATTGATGTGACGAGTTACAATCTGAAGCAATGCGGGCATTTGATCATGGTTCTTTCATATCACGTGGCTGTGTTCACTTCCTGTTTTTTTTAAATGTCATGTGAGTCACTGGACCAATATGAGTTTTAGAAATTAAACCTTTTAAACTATTTAAATTTAAGCAGTTGTCTCAGTCCTCTTCAGAGGAGACGAAGCAGCACCGTTCTGAGCTCAGAGGCCACAGCAGAGAAGTCATCTCCTTGTTTGCTTGCCACAGTCTTTAGGTCAGAATCTGTGACCTCTGGCTGCTCCTCTGAAATTCTACCCAGGCTAGTCAGGAGAGATCCTGCCAGAGAGTGTCGGGCCAGCCCTGCTGCTCTTCCCCACAGTGCCTCCTGCCAGAAGATCCCAAGGCATTCCTTCTCCAGTATCAGACCTGGATGCCTCTAGCCACTTCTAGGTCATTAGGTCAGCACTTAATCATTTACATAGCCAAGAAAATGGGGGACGGGTTTCACTGAGGTTGGATCCCTGAGCTCTCCCTCATCGTCACTGCCAGAAAAATGATGTCGAGAGGAGAATCTCTGACAGACCTGCCAGGCTCTTTAAATAGATGAGTTTTTTGGGGCTGGGGATATGGCTCTGTAGACAAAGTGCCAGGACCTGTGTTCAAATCCCCAGCACCTGAGCAAAAGGTCAGGCATGGCAGCATATGTCTGTAATCTCTGGGGGGTAGAAATGGGTAGATCCCGGGCACTCCATGGTCTGTCAGTCAACCTCCCCCCCACCCCCTCCAAAAAAAGTGAAGTTTAGTAAAAGATTCTGTCTCCAAAAAGAGATAGAGATTCAGCTGAGGAAGACAACCTTTTCTTGTACCTATATGGGCAAGCTCACCTGTATATACGCTTATATAATGCATATATTACACACACACATTCACACACACGTACACACACATTCGCACACACATATACACATACACTATTCTGTTTAGCAGTCACATAAGATATATTTTTTAACCCACCAATCACATTTCATTAAATAAACAGATTTTTAAGTTGTAGGATTTTGTAACTGCTTTCTATTACTTAAAGGTGAGTCAAATGCTTTTAGAATTTCATTTTCACTGCATCTGTTTAAGGTAGGGACCACACATGCATGAAGCGATCAATGTATGTCTTCATTCAGGAAACAAATGCCTCAAACCCATGTACCCCAAAGTCTGCTGCACTGCCCTAACACCCAGCCAAGGCCCAGCAGCCTCAGAGACCCCACACACAAGAGTGGGAGGCCACAGTAACTGTCTTTCTGGAAGGAAGAACCTTGTGTAAATGCTTCTTTGATCCGTACATTATGTTTTCTTCTTACGACTTTCAATCCAGCATCCCCTGTGTGATGCAACAGAAAGTCTTTCCTGCAGAAAGCTGATATAGTGAAGATCACAGCCTGCTTTGAGGCACCAACCCTCAATTGGAGGTTACTGCTTGGATTAGGACTGTGTAGCTCTTGGGCTGGAAAGATGGGTCAGTGGTTAGAGCACTTAAGAAGACCTCGGTTGGTTCCGCCGCACTCACATAGTTCAAAGCCTGTAACTCCCCGCAGGGGTGCAGCACCTGCCTCTGGTCTCTGCCCATCTCTGTACACAGATGGTGTACCTAAATTAATTCAGGCACTCAGACATGTGGATGTAAAAATAATGAACAAATACATCTACTTAAAAATACTTTGTATTCCTCAAAATATACCTGAAACACTGCCCTTAGTGGCACTTAAATACTGTTTGCTTTTACTTGGTACTGAGAATAAATGGTTTCCTTTGAGTCTTCGTCAAATGGAGATCATAGGTTTTCTGTGAGGAATTAATTCATCTGTGAAGTAGGCCCTCTATCTACAAATACTGTCTGAACACATTATCTGGAACTCTGTCCTACCTCAGTTACTGACAACCAAGTCCGTTAAGTACTCGGCCCTGAGGTATTTTGGGTCAGAGTCCAGATACATAGAAGTGGGCAGTATGGGGACCATAATGATGTAGGGTGAGCTAAGTCAGCCTCAGCTGAGTCAGCCGTAGCAATAGTGAAGAAGGAGAGGCTATGGTGTTGCTATCCTGCCTGTTACCATTCTGCCTCTCCATCCTCACTTAGGAAGAGA